AGAATTTCGACCGGATGGTCCGTTCTTCTTCACTAAAAGTTGCTGAGGCACAGCTGTAGTTTAACAGTGTCAGCTGGCTGATGCTCTCAGTATAAGAGCTTTAAATATAACTCTCACTGATGACGTCTCGAGTGAGAACTAGGCCTAACGCATGGGCTCGCATCTGCTGGCTTCACGCGGCACGAATAGCTCCTCTGTGTAAGGCGTCACTGTGTAGGTTTCATATTACTCTGTATTCATTTCTACACAATTATATCATAAGCTGCTACATGTATTGGCATGTAATTTGACACAGAGGAAAAGTTCAAATCCCTTGCAGGCTAGTTAATGGAAAGAAGTTCAAGGTATTACTCATATAGCAGGCCTACATTATGTAAAGGACAGTGTGAAGACCTGAAAGTAGGGATGCTACTAACTTGTAATGTAACTAACAGACATTTTACAATAGCGTGACACTATAATATAGTGAAAAGTTTGTTGGGTTCTTCTATGGTAACATTGCGAAAACAACCTTTTGGAACTTTTACTTTTAAGAAGGTAACTTTTCTGGTTTCCTACACTCTAAAAAATGCTGGGTTAAATACAACCCAGTGCTGGGTAAAATAGGGACAAACCCAGCAATTGGGCTGTTTTGACCCAGCGGTTGGGTTAAATGTTTAACCCAACCTTCTGGGTAGTAACCCAACCGCTGGGTCAAAACAACCCAATTGCTGGGTTTGTCCCTATTTTACCCAGCACTGGGTTGCATTTATTAACCCAGCATTTTTAAGAGTGTAATAGTCTAGTTTTCCATAAACATGCTAGATTTTCCACAAGTATGTCACATATGCAGTATTAGAAAATCTGATTGCTTTTAGTAAAGCAGTTTGTTTAAGGCGGTTCACCTAAATAAGTGATTCACTGCATCATCTCTTGTGAAGTGAAATATATGCTAAAATTATACTGTTTGTCACTATGTGTTATATACATTCCAGTATTCTAATTCTAGCAGTAACACTCTTAAAAATAAAGGTTCGTTCTTGGCATTTATGGTTCCATGAAGAACCTTTAACATCCAAAATTTCCATTTCCATTCCATTTTTTTAGAATATTAAAATGTTTTTCGCATGAGAAAAAAAAGACTGTTTACTAAAAGGTTCTTTGAGGAACTCGAAATGGCCCTTCTATTGCATTCATTTAAAAGAGTGATTTGACTGTACTAAACTACAGTTTAGTCTGTATTAAACTAGTTTGTAGCTTGTCACACTACTGTACAGTTTCAAAATAGATTCCTTAACGCTGGTATAGAGGGGGAAAGTGTGATAACAGGTTAGAACGTATGACAACAGTGGCATCTGATTCATTGAGAAACATTGTTGACAGGGAATTTACAGGAGTAAAAAGCATCTGGGTAAAGTTCCATTCTTTGCTTAACTCTTTGCTTAACTGCATTAAAACAATGCAAACAACTAGATTTTTACATTTTCTGAACAAAACGTGAGTGGTGCTTACCAATGCAAAAGTCACGCTGCAATGCTAGGCTGTTGTGGGTGGTTGCCACATCACTTCTATGCAGTTGCTAACATGTTCTGAGTGTTTTTAGCACATTACTATATGGTTGCACCCCCTCTATGATATTCTAGGTTCTTAGATATGGTCTACAGCCTGAGTAAAAAACTGCCTGTGAGTGATCACACATCACAAAAGTAATAGCACACCTCTTCTCAACAACCTCATGACCACAGGAAGAGTTACTCACCAAAGTTTAATAAGGGTAGGTTTAATAAGAGTTTGTTCAAATCCCTAACCCTGAGTATGAGCGGCAATAAAAATTATGCTTGCCTTAGCAAAAACCACTAATTAGCATGTTTCGTTCACTGCATTTATTCTCATTACAATGTGCAGAGCATTGATAATGTAGTTTCACTTTTCACTGTTTCAAATGCAAGATTCTTGCAGATTAAAATATCACTAATTCATCATATAATGTTTAGGCATATACTGTACAGTCGTTTTTGAAAGAAGTCTCTTATTCTCACCAAGGCTGCATTTATTTGATGAAAATACAGTAAAACACTACTGTGAAATATTATTACAATTTAATATAACTATATTTTTAAACATTTTAAAATGTAATTTATTAATGTGATGTCAAAGCTGAATTTTCAGAATCATTACTCCAGTCTTCAGAGTCACATGATCCTACAGAAATCCTTCTAATTTGCGGATTTGCTGCTCAAGAAACATTTTTGATTATCACCAATGTTCAAAAACAGCTGTGCTGCTTAATATTTTTGTGGAAACCATAAAACATTTATTTTTTTATGATTCTCTGCTGAATAGAAAGTTAAAAACAGCATTTTATTTGAAATAGAAACCTGATTTATTATTGTCTTTATTGTCCCTTTTAATTCATTTTATGCATCATTGCTGAATAAAAACATTCTCTATAATTTTTTAAGATAAAAATCTTACTATCCCAAACGTTTAAGCAGTCGTGTATGTTTACTATAAACCCCTTTAGTAAAAAATTTACCACTGAAAATGGCTGTCGAATGCAGTATCATTGGTTCTATTCTGGCCCTAAATGACCCTCTGGCAACATGAATAGTTAAAACCAATCAAAACAGATAGATCATCATTTCAACAGAAGTCCGTTAAGTCGTTCTGCAGGCTAAAGATTTGAGCATAATTAAATTACTATAAGGCTGACTTTATAAGGGAACATGTACTTGATTCTTGCAGGCTTCTTATGTGGTCCTGGTGTGAATAGTAAAACCCCAGAGAACAGTGAACTTGATTTATTCTGCACTTCTGCTGTCAAAGTGCGTCAGAAGTTTAGTTCCAAAACATAATGAACTACCTAGCCTGCATTTTAAGTCATCATCCTGATACATTTTGATACTTATATTGTACTACTTCATTCAGTACTGAAGAATAACACAGAATCTAATTGGAATGGACTGTTTACCCTGATATTTTAGTGTACTGTGTATCTTTGTGCTTAATGTATTGCAGAATTAGCTTAGTAACATGCGAAAACACGAAAATCATATTAGTACATATTAGCAAAGCTGAAACAGTCCTGAAGGAGAAATCAAAGAGCTTGAAATGTCAGTAATGAGGAAATTGCATAATAAGCTGTGCATCTGCTGTGTTTATTCATAAGGGCTCTGCCCAATATCATGATTATGCTAATGAGAATGCAAATACACAAATAAAGGTTTGTTGAACTTTGACTAGTCCCACTCACAGTCCGTTTACTCAATGCCTGATATATATTACACACAAAACTGGAAAGAACTTCCTCAATCCATCAAACGCCATTACTTATGGACGTAAAGGCTTTAAAATATAGTAAAGAATAGTGCACATGTAGTGAACTGCCTTTTCCAATCTTCATTCCACTCAATAGATATTTTCCACTAATTATTCTGTTCGTAAAGACTACAACACCATTATTTTATTTTTATCTTTTTTAAATGTGTGTTATAATCTATTTCGAATAAACCCCCTTAAAAGCACAAAAATGAAATAGTTTCTGGTTACACGAGAAACTGGGTTCCTTCTTCCTCTTTTACAGAGTCCATGATAATCTTTACAGCAAAATATACAATGTCCATAACATGCAGTGACACACTTAAATATGTCTGTGGACATTAATAACAGACAGCAAAAGTATTAAAGTCAGCGCTACAGTAGCCTATTACTTTAACATTCTGAAACTGTTGGGACAGTTAGCCTATGATAAGTTACATTTTAATAAAATGACACGGATCATTTTAATAGTCGACTTTTATAGTCAGGTTAGACGCCATATTGAATTTAACACGGCTGAAAAGAGGCTGTGAGCCTCTAAATCTCACAGGCCCTAAATCACGTGATTTTTACAACTCATAACTTTTAAAACTGTTTATGGTTTATGGTCAATTTGTTTTCGTTAAGACATTTCGTCAGTTAAACAATCGCTGTTGTCAAACAACAGTAATCCACGAAAAGCTCGTACTTTTACAGCCTCGTTTTCATTTCTGTCAAAAAATTCAATATGGCGCTGACTAAGGTCTATTGTTGAAAGTGTTCCAACAACTCCAAAACAATTATTCTACCAGACGGAACAAAAACCAGGAGGAAAAAAAACATTAGGAAAGTGTCTTTGCCAAAGAAAATTGAAAGCAAATGATGTGGAAATCAGCCACTTAAAATCACTTTTTGAACCGACAGAGGTCAGTCGCAAGTTACTTGTCAACCCAGTTAGTCATCTTTCCCTATTTCATCACATCATATAGTGTAAGTGTTCAAAGCGACCATTTATGCTGTCCTTAAAAAAATTATGCATTAGCATAACCTGCTGCGCTCATATAGGCTACAAGAGCTGAACTGACATTATTCAACAAAATATTAAGTTCTCTCATAAAATATCAAAATGCAAAACCACTTAAGCGACTATTAATATTAAAATGACGAATGAATAATCAGCGCCCCTCACTCAAGTGTATAAAACAGCTATACACTATTTAAAAACTATTAAAGTGACTGTTGAAGTATTAACGCGCCTTCTATTGCGGATTAGTCACAGATGCACAATTCCAAACAGAAGCAATGGCTTTAAGCTCATTCCCCCCAAAGCGGTGACATCTCCCACTCAAATCAACTACTTCACAAAACTCAGAGCACAGACACAAAGTGTGTCCAAATGAAAGAATATTTCTCGTACTGAGCATCTGAGCCATTTCACGCACACAATTCGAGATAATTCCTCTAACCAGTGAGCTTCCATGCAGTGGGATGCACTTGCAACAGAGACCCTGCACGGTTTGCAGGTACTTAAACAGATTGTAAAACGCCATGAGGGGGCAGAAGGGTCTCTTTCCCTCACGAGCACACAGAAACTACCTGACTTAGAGTGATAAAATGACAGCAGTCCTCCACCTGAATCAGCAGCAGCATCAGTGGTACTCTAGCGCAGGAGGACGCTGAGGGAGGAACACGGGGATGCAGCAGAAATCCATCAGTCCTCTTACCTTGAAAGGGAACATATGACATGTTCCAACGGCATTGAAGGTGTTCTCCGTGTCTCTTCAGTCTCTCGACATGCAGAAATATCCTTTAGCAGTCATAGGAAGCGAAAACCCCCTTGTGCTCATGGACTGCGTCGACGCTGAAGCGATATTCCCGTGATGCGAATGGAAAAACCGAAACAAAATCATCGTCCATGGTCGACGAGAGTCATTGGGATGATTACAGCCCGTGTATCACATCACATATCACACGCGTAAAACAAGAGTGATGAAGAAGAGGAGAACGAAGGGAGAGAGAGACGGAGAGAGAAGGAGGCGGTGAAGGGAGCGCGCGCGTGTGTGTGCGTTTACCAGTGCAGATCGATCTAAATGCACTGTGTGTGTGCCTGTTAATGTGATGTGATATAATTCCCCTATAGAGTCACATAACCAATAAATACCAGGAAATACTATAGTATGGTATTTCTATGATGCCATCGCTGTTGATTCTAAGTTACACGAGTACCTCGATGTGAAATTTTAACCTCAAATATTAACTTTTTCTAACCAAACTCAAACTACAGACTAGCTAAATATTATTATTTCACTTTCAGCGTTTTTCATTTTGCTGTAGCCTATTAGCTATAAGGCAAGGTATCACTATTAGCCTATACTATTGCTCATAATTGGGCTTATAGGGATTTGAATAAAGCAGCCATGATTCCTCAATCATGCAGCTTGTTGAAAAGACATGATTTTATTTTACTTTAAGTTGTTCAGCCTCATGATTTTTGCCTGGTAGACAAAAAATGTACGAAAAAGTCCTAGACTATAGTGAAGGAGAAATTATCCATTTTCTGATAGAATATTATAGAGGGGAGGGATCTTTTGACTGGAGTCAGCAAGCAACCACCTAGTAATGCCCTAGCAACCACCAAGAACACCTTAGCGACCAGCAACATGCAACCAACCACACTGTGGTGGCATGTTGCCACCGACAAAAAAAGCAACATGCAACCAACATGCAACCAACCACAGTGTTGGTGGGTTTTATACAAAAAATAATAACTCAAATTATTTCGAAAATGTCAAATAAGAAACTGTCAAACCGCTTATAGTTGATGTAAACCAGGGGGTTCAAACTGGGATCTCTGGAAAAGGTTTGAAAAAAAAATAGTGTAAAATAAAGTTAAAATGAACTAATAAAAATCAATTAATTAAAATAAGATTAAATAAATAAAAATGTAAGGTAAAATATTTTTAAAAATTACTATATACATAATACATCTAACAGTACTGTATTATAATGAGTAGAAAACATATATAGGCCTAATTAATAATTAATTTTTTACAGTATAAATTGTATCTTCATGCAAATACATTGATTTTAGGATGCAGCCTCTCATGACCATATTTGGGGATCAGGAAGCCGAGAGGGTTTAAGTTGGTTTATATATACATATATATTGACAAGGACAATGGTGTTATGCTGCCAGCTTCTGTCATTTACACTTTCATTTATTTTAAATTATATCTAAACATAATTAAAGTAGCTAACTATTAGGCTACATACAGGGGCGTAGTCATCATTTCAGAAGTGAAAGGGACAGAAATGTTATATATATATATATATATATATTCTAACAGGTTTTATTTATTTTTCTTACTTTTAATTGGCTAAGAAATCAAATAAACTGCTGGACAATGACCAATAATTTGTATTCTGTATGTTCACATCTCCTCGTTTTGGATACAGAGATCTTATATATATATATATATATATATAGAGAGAGAGAGAGAGAGAGAGAGAGAGAGAGACAAGGACAATGGTGTTATGCTGCCAGCTTCTTTCATTTAAATTTTCATTCATTTTCAATTATATCTACACATAATTAAAGTACACTGTAAAAAAAAATATTTTTCACCATAAAAAATATGGTAGCAACATTTAGACTTAACTTAAATTCACAATAAAATACCGTATTTCATTAACTGATGTAATGTTAATAAACCAACATATTGAAGTAATATCTGTTTTGAACCATTGTAATGCACTGATAACCACCAAAAACGGGTGGTGATGAGAAAGTCACACGATGAACCAAAGCTCATCACAAACAGCTTTTCTACGAGCTGAGGAGGGCAATACTTATATATAGAAGGTGCACAGTGTCATTCACACAAACACTAAACCCCATCATGGTGACACACATGATACTGAAATGATGCAATAAACATTCATTTAACAACATTAGATGTAAGATTAAACCCTAATGTACACAACTGATAAGAAAAAACTAAGAAGAAACATGTTATTTCAACAACAAAAAATGTATGTCCAACATGTATGGAATTCTGGGAATGTCAATTTATGTTTTTTCACTTTAAATTATACAATGACTTTTTCTTTTTCACTTCCAATTTTAACAGTATTTTACTGTAAAATTACATTAAATGTAATTACATTTATTCACCGAATATAGTATATGGGAACTTACTGTTAACCAGTTAACATGTTTTTACTGTAGCATTTTACAGTAAAATACTATTAAAATCACAATCATTTTTTACAGTGTAGCTAACTATTAAGCTACATATACATATCTCTTTATGGGCAAGGTAAAAACCTTAGCAAACTAATAATAAGCATAAACATATATCCACTTTCTCTTTACCAACTGAACACGTTGCCTTCAAATGTATTTAACATTCACGCTCAAAACAGAAACAAAATACAGAATTTGCCAAACCAAATAAACAATGTATGATGTCAAATACTCTTCTCTGTAAGTATTTAAGCATGCCATTTACACTGACAATGATCTCTTTCAATAGCTGACCTTGCAGAAAACGTATCATAAAGCAAACTGCAGAAGGTGATTTATTCTTCATTCAGAGTCATTCTCTACATTAGTTGGCGATAAGCTCTATTAGCACCAATATTGCTGAAATATAGCAGTGAAAATTTGCAAAGCTACCATCTAGGCCAGGGATGGGCAACTGGTGGCCCGCAGGGCCCGCTGGATCATATTAGACTCGGATGATCAATTTTAAAACATTTGAAAAGCAAGTCACGTAAAGATTGCTTTCAGTTTATGATGTTAATACTATCTCCAACCAGGAGAGGTCGCTATAGTTTCCAGCCGCTCCCCTATTAATTTCAGTTGGACCTGCACTCTAATGTAAACATTCATTAACATTAGCAAATAATAAATTAAAAACTGACCATGAAAACAGTATTTTCAAGTCAAGATGGTAAACAGATTATCTTTTTACCAAGTTCAAGGGGATACCCATATGTTTGGAAATCTGTATTTTATTTAAATCGCCATCACACCACTGCTCACAAACAACGGGGACGCCAGAGTTGCACTTGCCTCAAATTTCAAAGGTAAAATTCATAGTCAACAAAAAACTTTTTGCCAAATGCATGACAGAAATGTTTGCACTGGACTATGTTCTTATTAGGGTTTCCGCGGGTCCTTAAAACGTCTTCAGTTAAATTGTTTACATTTAAGGCCATGCAAACTCTTAAATGGTACAAAATTGATAATAATTGTTTAAATTAATATAATAATTGATACTTTTGACTCATCCCTTTTCTTAAAAATTGTTTAAAGGCTGAAATGTGAAGTGCAGATCTTAAAAAGGTCTTAAATTTGATTTAAAAAATCCTGCAGATACCAGGTTACTTTATGGTACCATTTGGAATAACTTTTTATTTTTTTAATTAAGCCCTTTTTAACTGTCCTTTTAGGTTGTTTTGAGAATGTTCTGTAGGGCACTAATAAAAAAAGGACCTCTGTATATTTGTTTGTTGCAAATTTACAGACAATGCAATTGAAATGTTTACATTGGCTTGTCGGGGGAATATTTCTGTCCACTGACAACAAAGTTTTCCTTCTGAATTAGCATAACTGCACAAGTTTTATACTTAATAAAATCTTTAAAAATAAATTAGTTATACTTTCATTTCCATCAATAAAAAGGAAATTGAGTAAGACGGTGTAAAAGGTGTGTGGACGTGGATTAGTAATCTGGCCCCTTGGTATAAAGGAGAAATAATGCTGGCCCTCATCACTATCAAAGTTGCCCATCCCTGATCTAGGCAGACTTGTTTCCCGCCATCTTTCATGCGGACACGCCCCCTGCAACCGCAAAACTAGTTTCCCACTAGTTAACATGACTAGGCTTGGTCAATCACGTGCACGTAACTTCTAATTACTATATTTAAGAGTTCACACAACAGCACAGAGATGAACAACTCATACTAAAGTAATGCATTTATTTCTCTCAAGATTCTCCACCGAGCCGGAAAGTGAGGCCTGCTGTCAAGGCAACCAGAGCCAAAATGGCGTTCAACGCAGACCGAGTAAACTCTAAACTACAACAGTCCTGCTGTCTGTTATGTTATTTCTCAAAATAGATTACAATTCTTATAGAACACATAATACGACGCATTTGAATTTCTCAGAAGCATTATAAAGATATTTCCCGGAGTGTCATATGAGTGCGCTCACCTGTTAAGAGGAAGTGGGCGTTCAATGCTTGTACACGGCAGCCACCTGGTGGTCGCAACAATAAATACACACATACACAATATTCACTCTCTCTCTCACACACATACACACACACATAATCTTTTAGAAAATTCATGTCAAAAAGACAAAGGTGGATTTAAGTTTTTTTTTTACTTTGCACCTCAGTATTGCTTTGTTCTTATAGACAAAACATTGCTATTATAACAGTATTTCTCCATCAGAACTGCAGAAATAGTCTAATTCATGTGAGTACTAAAACATTTACTTGCACACCTGCTGTCCCTCATGTGTCCAAATGAAGAAATTATGACAAGTTTATGTTCATATGCTCTATTGTTATAAATTACTGGAAAAGACATTTGAACCAACATAAAAAAAAAAATAAAAAAAAAGAAGACAAAATTCCACCAAATCTGTGGGCAGAGGAACTGAACGAGTGCCAATTTTATACAACATAATGATATCTTTTTATTGTTTGTTTACATTTTAGGTGTCAACCTAGAGTACATATAAACATAATCTGACAAAACGTCAAAGAATACATCAAATTAAACTTAGACTTGACTATAAAAAAGACTACAGTCTGCTAATTCTTGTCACCCTGACATGAAATCAGTCCATCTATGACCTAATAAGTACGTACCATGAATTAAAAAAAACACACACAATACATTCATTATCATTCACTGATGAAATGAGCTTCACATAAGGACTAACAGCCTCACGCTTTTATTCAGGTAGAATGATCTGCATGTAATATTTATTGGACCTGATAAATGTTTTCAGT